ATGTAGCATTTTGAATTTTTAAAATCCGTTAAGTTTTGCTAAAGAAACATCAGTTTGAAAATAGCCTAAAATTTGGAACCTTTTTGGATCGTAGTGTTGGAACGGTACACTGGGCGGCTCTAAAACTTATATCTTTGTAATCAGCTCATCAAGGCCTTTAATTTGATGCCCATTTTAAGTACATTTTTCACTGCACAGAGATGGGGCACATAGCCTATGGACCAGTAGCATCACTCTTTACCGTGCCGCGACCCTTCTTTCGTGTTGCTTAACATTGAGGATCAACCGTCGCGTCCTTACATTTGTATATGTGTGCACCATCATTACAACGTAACGCTCGGAGATAATGTCAAACAGATTTAATGCGACGTTAAAGTACACGAAGCCCCGCATCCGTGTGAACCTCCCCGATGCTTCGCTCGCGCTTGCCATATCCCTGGCGCAGGCCGCCGATACTTTTCGCATGTGCCTTTGCGAGCATCGACGCGAAGCGGAAGCCGCACGGAAGAGCCAAATGGCTTTCCAATACCGAGGCTTACTCCGTAAGCGCGCGAGCCGCTGAAAAATACCGAAAAACAGTTCGGTTTTGCGCGAAACACGTTAGGCTCGTTAGTTATAACCATCTAATGGCGTATTCAATTATGGAACGATACAAACGATGAGAGGAGAAGCAGGGTGGAGATCCAGGAGCGAATTGGGGGAAAGTGTGAGGAGTATTTACGTTTCACCGGTATTAGCGCGAGAAAATATACGTATCTTCCTCGACACGTTTCGCCAAACGACGACGGGCATTAAGCGATTACGGGAACTTGACAGGAGTGAATATTAGGTAAAATTTGAGGTGCTGTAAAAAGTTGTGAATTAATAGAAGAAATATGAATATTTTGTCATGTGAATTAATAAGAGTATGAATATTTTGTCATGTGGATCTATTAACAAAACCTAGGTTATAGAAAAAATTATATTTTGTGTTGTATATTAACACTATTGTGCTCACTACTTCAATTCTGCTCCGCATAAGAATCACGCTTGAACAGTAACCATCCTGGGTTATTAACAGGAGTGATCTAAAATTAATATCAATACATTTTTTTACTCATTAGGGTTATCGTTACCGGTTCATTGTTGCTTTCCGCAAATTTCAAGATCAGTTTTTATTTATTTGTTACATGTTCGGATTTTTCAATGAAAAGATTCAATTTGATTTTTTATAACTCCTATTTTGCGAAATTTTGTTTTTTTTTTTCAAAATTCGCTCCGTAAGAATCGATAACTATAGCCCTAACAGATAAAAAATGTATTGGTGCTGATTTCAGATTACTTTTGTTCCTATTGAAGCCAGGATAGTTATCATTGAAGTATGACTCTTTTATAGAACAAAATGGACACAATTATATTAATATTTATCATAAAATCTGCACGCATCTGAAAATATATTAAAAGTAAAATACAAAATATATCTTATTTGTATTTAATACTCTTTTAAAGAGTGAATTTTTTACACCAAGATATTGTTAATGGACACATACGCAACAAAAAATTCATACCAACTCATATCAACTTACATTATTCCTACCAACTTACATTATTCCTATCAACTTACATCATTCCTATCAACTTACATTACCTCTTTCTCCTCTCTCTCTCTCTCTCTCGCTAAATTTTATCTAATTTTTACTTCAGTCGAGGTCCTGTAACCTCCTATAAATCCGAATCGCGATCAGTGCGCTGCCAGAGATAGAGGCACGTGTCACTTTTATTAATCCGACCGAATTTGCATGATGGTTAATTTGCATATTATAAGGAAGTTACAGATCCCGATCGTCCGCAGTCGCTGTCGACCGACAGTGTGCGTCGATCGGGCTTCCAGCGGAGATGAGTTTGACTGGCGTAACTTCTCCTCGCCTCGTCGTCGTTCCTCTCCTCTCTGCCCCGTCCCACCGGCTCTCTCTCTCCATCGCCAAAAATAATGGTAGGAAAAGACATAAAATACTGCTCCGATTTTATGGTCCATCCTTTCACGAAGGGTCGGGAGAGCGCGGCGCTAGGTCACGTTGTAACAACTAGCTCACGGGTGGTGTCCGTGCGACTGTACTTCATAAATTTCGTTCCCTTTTGGACGAAAAAGTTCCGCGATCTTGCGGGTCCGGCGGAGTGAGCTTCATTGTTCGGCCGCGTGATATATACTTCTTCTGATACCGACCGCGGCGGCGTTAGGGACGGTTTTCAACGAATTTCCCCCGAAAACCGTGACAGAAATATCCTCGAATTTCCACGTGCGCAACTCGTAAATTACCGGCTAATTTCCCGATCTTTCGGGAAAACTGTACCAAAGCGAACGGAGTGAAACGCCGCTGGTGGAGGACTCCTTGAAGAAGATAGGATTGCGCCACGCATAAAAGATTTTCGTTTTTCGTTATTTTGTAGCTTTACTCTCCTCAGTGATGATTTAAATGACTGTGCGATTTTCAAGGCGGTTTTTCTTTTAACCCAGTTAGGAATTTCTTTTCTTTTCCATTTTCTCTGAAGGGTTTTGAAAAATAGAATACACACAAAGTATATTTAATTTGTATCTGGTATTCTTTTAGAGAGAGAGAGAGAATAAGGAAACACGTTTCTGCTTGAATCAGTAAAAGAAGTATTTCATTAATAATCAGTGAATGATAAAAGATAATTTTTTTCATTATTTTATAGTTTTAATTTCTTCAGTGGTGATTTAAATGACTGCACAATTCCCTCCCCCAAAACGGTTTTTTTAAATAAATACTAAAGGTTTCTTCTCTTTTCATTGCTATTTTCTTTGAGGAATTTTGAGAGAAATAGAATACAAAATATATATAATTTGTATTTGGTATTCTTTCTATCTCTCTCTCTTTCTCTCTCTTAGAATATGAATTAGTAAAAAGAGTATTTTCCCGATAATCAATATTTACAGATTTTGAATAGAAATATTTCTGCTTATTGAGTCATTTTGCATCTCACTGGGATATATTCCTATACATCGAGCGTATAATACTTGCATCAACTCTGTTGATGCGAGTCTCATTCTACGAACTTTATAATTCTAATTCAACGCGCGTCGTACAATCAATTAAGGGCCTACAAAAGGTCATAATAGAGATCTTTCGGGCAGAACTGCGAAATATAGGCAAAGGCATTTGACGTTTTTTAATCAAAATGAAAATCACTTTGTATTTGTGATATTTTTAGTCAGAAAAATGATGTTCGCAAGAGATTACAGAGTGTTTTTTGCAAAAAGCTCGAAATAAAAATCGATTAAATTATTTTAAAAAACATTTGATGCGCGATGCAGCATAAACCTATATTTTTATTTATTAGAAATTTTCAACGACCTAAATGCAAAATCGGGCTCCTTGCCACCTGTTTCTCGTCACTGCAAGAAAGATGCTAAAGAAAGTTTGATAGAAAGTTTGAAGCAAATATAACGTCGACGAGGTAAAATGCGCCAACGTTGCAGATACTACGGAAAGCGTAGGCACCAATTTGCAGTTGTTGCGTCCGCGCGAGCGATACATTAGTATTGGCGTGTATATGGACACACAACTACGCACATGGGACGGTATTTCGCGCCAGGTCACTGCACGAGACCTTCATAGTCAAATCAGGGTTTGCTCTTGGCTCCTGCAGATCCTTAACGACCGTCGTCGCGGTGCAAGAGCGAATAACCGAACAGTCCGAACGTTAGGGTGCGCATACGAAGGCCGGAGTCGAGCGCAAAGGTATCTCGTTTTGGTCACAGTAGGTTTGAATTTCAAAAACTACAGAATCACGCACATTTTGCCAGCGGGCGCGCGATAAATATCTCACTGCGTGGGTCAACAACGGGCAATAAAAAAGTAACGTACGAATACGCGCTCGCACGATAAATATTTAACAATGCGTTTAATGTTTAATGCTGTCGCTATAGAAATTGCGTTTCGCATGCCGCGGCTGGTATTTTCGCCGGTGCGGAAAATCGTGGTCCCGGGCGAAACCCATTCGATCATTGGGAAAATTTAAAAGAGCGCACGTCCGTCCGTCGTTGCGCGTTACGATTGAAATTTCGTTTCCGAGGCGTTGCTGCGAAAAATGAAACCGCACGCATCGACGATACAATGCGTGGTGGATACGCGTACGTGAATGTGTGTATGTGTATGTATGATACGTATACACAACGCGCTGACATTTAATATTGAATTCAAATATAGTGAGAAATGGGGAGATAAAGAGACGAACAAAGGGAGCGATAATACCAACCGCGTTATATTACGCGTTACATTAATACGTCTTGTGACGTGCGGGCTTTAAATCGGACAAATGACTCTCAAAGATGAAAAACGGCACATGTAACAGACAGAAGGAAAGCGGAAGAAAAAAAGAAAGTTATTATTCGAAACGACAACTTCATTAAAGCCGCGACCGTAAACTAATTCACGCGTGACGTCAAAGAAACACGAAGTTCTTCATTGAATTCACGCTTGGATTCTCCTTCCGTGAAGAGAGGCACGCCTCGACGAGCCGTGACGCTTTGAATCATCCCGTGTGCGTAAAGAACTCTCGCGGCATTCTTTATCGACCAGAAGTACGGTACAATAACCATCACCACCACCACCACCACCACCAATATCAGCGCTGTCGCCGCCGCAATATCATCACTACCACCACTACCAAGCGCGTTAACGAGCATTACACGTGAAGTGACACCGGCCGTTTTGGGAATGCCGTCGTTTTGCATTCGTTTGCGAAGGGACCGTCGCGCCCCCGGGACGAATATGTTTCAGGTATTCATAAAGGCGGCTCGTTAATTACGCCCGACGTCTTAAAGTAATTAACTCCGTCGGCCCCGAACCTGCCCGGGCGCCTCGACGTTCCTATGGTCGGTTAATGTAATTCCAGTTCGTCCCCTGGTTCTACCCTCCCTCCCTGCCCTGTGCAATTACGAGAAAGCGTGCGCGCAAGAGAGAGAGAGAGAAAGGGAGAGAGAGAGATTGAAGACTCACCTCTCCTGATGATTTTCAACCCCCTGTGACTCCCGCGCGATATTCCCATCGCTAAACCGAATCGAGCTTTATCCAAGTAGTGAACCAGTCCAAATGTAATGGGGTGAATCGAGGTAATTTCGCCACCGGGCTAAATGCAACATTCTGAAACATTTTTGGGTGACGGGTTCAATAATAATTACAAGTTTGTTGGGAATAGATTCTGTCTACTTAATCAGAAGGTACAAAATCTCCGAGGAAGGATGACGGTATAACTTATTCGGCAAAACGCAAAATAAGTTATCTTCGATATTTTCTTTACGGCTCTATTTTTATTATTATTATTTATTATTAATAACATTAACGTAAATTAGAGGTCGTTTCGTGTTAAAAAGTTCGATGGAAAGAACTACATGAAAAGAATATTATAGTTTTCTTTCATATAAATTTTTTCCAATTTTACCATGTTTTTAGTACTTTAAGACGGTCAGAATAGATTGTTAATAATGTCTATATTGTTAAGAGAGAGGAACCTAGTTTCTTCTTCTTCAATTTCTAAAATATAGGTAGCACATATAAAATGAAAGGATAGTGGAATTACTGCAGAATGTCGATCTATTCTTCGGTTACGAAACTCTGTAGTTATTTTGCTATAAAATTTTCTCCGTGTACGCAAGATAAAAGTTCCAATTTTTGGACATATATCTAGTTCATTCTTGTTGTTTTTGGTTTTCAATTAAAAATATTTAAATTTTGCACACACATATATACTGAATATATACATGTCAGCATCAACTCCCCTTTGTAGAGATGACCTACGGTCGTACCTGGTCAGTTTACAAAAAGAGCTCGTTGTCTTGTTATTGTTTACATAAGAAAGTAAAAACTAATGGGTTTAGCCGTGCAGTGGGGAGAGTGATAGAGTTGATCCGGTGAGAAGAGTATGTTTATAAACATGGAACTCGCCCGGAAACTGATGACACGAATGGACGTATTGCGTGATCCCTCCTAATTTCCAACATACCTACAGGAAGTCTAACGCAAGACATATATCTACGTGTGAAGATAGAGCACTTCGAGCTGAGTATTTTGCAAATAACTACATAAATTTTCGAGATATTAGAAACAAAAGATTGACTAACCAGAACGCGCGACGTTGTGGGACGAGCTTTGTTAGCGCGAGATCTCATCGAAAATGGCTGAAACGTTTCAGACATTTTCAATGGCGAAATGTTGCGTTTATAGAACTCATTCTACAACATCGCGCGTGCTCTGGTTCGCCAAACTTTTTTCATTAATATCTTGAAAACGTGGTCGTTTGCCAGAGATCCTCGTGTTCAGATTGACGTGTTTCACCTTCACAAGTGATTTTGTATGCCATGCATCACACATCCTATGTATATCCTGTTCACCCTATGTATATCGAAAGTTTGGATGTTCATATTTAAAGACCAAAGCAACAAGAATGTCCAGGATTAGGCACGTGTCCGGATACTTTCATCTCGTAATCTCGTGTTGCGCGCGGCAGTAGTTCAAACCGTACGTGGTCAGACGCGAGTCACGGAGCCTACCAGCCGGCTCAAGCTGCGGCATGTGCAAATCGGCGCGGATGCTTAGAGTGGCAAGGATTTGTGGCGGAGTTTCAGGGATGCGGCGCGCGAAATTTCGACCGGGTTAGAGAGGGCAGCGAAGTATCTCGACATGGAGAGGAGAAACATACCGGCCACAGTGCGTTTTTCCACTCGTAACTTTCCGGTTACGGCGTCGACTTTCGACACCGCTCAACGTCGCGCAACACCGCGCGAATGTCGAATGCACGCCGAGCGCGCGCCTTTCCATCTGTTTTTTTTTTTTCTTTTCTTTTCTTTTCCTCTTGCGCTTTCTTTTTGCACGGTCTCCGGATCGCGTACTGCAGAAACGCGGCAGTGGCGTAGCGCAGGAAAGATTTATGCCGCCGTGCCGCGACGCGCGCACCTCCGGTGAAATATTCATGCGGGTAGGCGCGAAGATTCAACACTTGACCGCCAACGAGGGAAAACGAGGGCAGGTAGAAGCCCGAATCGCGCCCGTCTCTCTGTGTTGCGCGCCGAACGAAAATACGCCCACGGTGCCCTACGGCGGTCAGCGCGTTCTCCAAAAGGATGAAATCGTGGAGAGATATGCGGTACGCTGGAATTTCCAGCGAGGAGAAACGAACCTGACGCTGGAGAAGATGGAATGTTTGCGGAAAGTTCTCGCGTTGGATCGCGCGTTGTCATTATAGTGTCATTTAGTGAATTAAAATCGAAATTCGTTGAAAATATATTCATCGTTATATGAATATCATACGTTTAGACACGTTAAAACACTGGATATCATACGTTTAGATACATTAAAACACTGGAGATATTTAGTAAGATAATATGATAAGACCGTGTTCATTCTCGTGATCATTCTCAATCAAAACAGATATAAATTTATTCTTAGTGGGATCTTTTTTTATACACATACGAGGGTGGTCTGAAAAGTTTCCGACCTAACAAAGATACAAGTCATTTTTTCTGAAAATTGTTTTTTATTTTTCAACATAGTCTCCTTGTAAATCTACACACTTCTCCCAGCGATGCTCCCATCTCTGTAACCCGTCGAAATAGTACTCGGCGTTTTTCTCTGCAAAATAATTGTTCACGAAGGTGATTGCCTCTTCATTTGACGAAAATCTCTGTCCTCCGAGC